GCAAGAAACTAACGTCCTGTCAACAACGATGGTCAACCTTCGAACGAGAAGCAGTTTGTGTCATCGAAGCCTTGAAAAAATTTGACACATGGATTTTCGGTGCCAAAGTGCAGATTGTGCCTGATCACAATCCCCTCACCTACTTGACTCAAAGCACCCCTCATGGTGCTAAATTGTCTCGTTGGTTACAACGGTATAACATGACTGTGACGTACCGCAAAAGAAGTTCACATGGGAATGCTGATGCTTTGTCAAGGTTAGCTGTTAACTCTTTCTCTCTCAATGAACTCTGAGCAACATTGTCTCTACGACGATGAATGTGCTTCTTGTGGGGGGACTTGAAAAGATCGTGACTTGTAAAGATCATGACTTATAAAGATCGTGTCTTAAAGAGAACGTGAAATATAAATAATAGGACAAGAACTTGCATTTTACGGTGTGGCAACAAGAAGAGGATTCGGAAGATTTTTTTATATATTTTGTTTAGAGAGTTTAATGTTTAGTATTTTAATAGTTGTAAGAGTTTTAACTGTAGTAGTTTAAGAGTTTAAAATTTTGATAGTTAAGAGCTGCAGCATTTATTTTTTTTTTGGTTCTGTTTTAAAATTCAAATAAAAGTATTCTGTTTATTCTGAAAATTTAGCTTTGTTCTTCTTACAAGGTTCAATATCCGTTATATTAAAATAAGGAAAGAATTTTTACTGGTGGGTCTATAAATCTTGCTTTCAAATCCTTCTGAACTTTCCAAGTTGCAATGTCTAATGTCCGGAAGAAAAATTACGCCTACCAATTTTGTAACAGCAAACAACCAGAAATATTTTTTAAGATGGAAAAAGTGTGAAATTAATTTTATAGAGAAAACTTATGCATATTTTGAGAATTCTGAACACTGAGAAAATTACATGAGAAAACTTTATCATGAAAAATTAAAAAGAAGATATTTTTTTTAAAATGTTATTTTTTAAATATAATTTCAATATATTACCATTATTTTAATGATATTTATCAATGTTAGAATGTTTAAAAAAAATCGTCGAAAAATTCCCAAATCATGGAAACTAAAATTTTCTATAAAAACTGATCTTAAAAAATCGCCAAAATGTTGATAAGTCGCCAAATTTAGAGCCGTTCAATAAAAGAATTTACATCCTCAAAAGCGAAAAGTTGTTTAAGAGCTCTTGAGTAGAAAAAGTGAAATAATTTCGAAATACTTGTTTCACTTCCTGATTGTAGATTACCCATTCAAATAACCATATACACTGGTGTGCAAAAATTAAGGACGAGACGGTTTTTTCAATGTAACTTTGTACAAAAGCTTTCCAAATCAACACATTTAATACCGTAAGATCCCCAATACGTAAGGACATGAGTAATGTAAGCAACACTTACTAAAAGAGACATCAGAGATATAAAAAGAAGCTTTATTGAAAAAGTAGCATGGAACGCAATGCGACTGAAGGCCGAAACATCCGTGATGGGTGTCCAGCAAGAAACATCCGGTCTCTAATAGGGGATATGATCTCCCCTGACTGCTAGGCAGGTTTCACAGCGTCTGCCCATGCTGAGAATGAGGGTGTCAATGAGTTGTTGAGGCATTGCTGCCCATTCGTCTTGCAGCGCCAATCGAAGCTCCGGAATCATTACTGGTGGTAAGGTACGAGCTGCCAAGCGTCTGCCTAGAAAATCCCATACATGCTCGATGGGATTGAGATCCGGAGATCGTGCCGGCCAATCCATATGTTCAATATCCTCACTCTCTAAGAGCTGTTCGGCAGCTATTGTGCGATGACATGGTGCACTGTCATCCATGAATAGGAACTGCGGACCCATAGCGCCTCTAAAAAGACGCACATATGGAAGAAGAATCTTGTTACAATAACGGGTCCCGTTGACTCAACCTGCGTCGAAGATGTGAAGGTCTGTACGACTACCAAGCATGACGCCTCCCCAAATGAGAACACCGCCACCTCCATACCTGTCCCTTTCAATGATGTTCGAGGGATGACTGCGGCTTCCCTCCAGATGAGTATGCGATGAGAATCGCTACTCAGACTGAATCTGCTCTCATCTGTAAAGAGTACTCGTCCCCATTCATTGTCTCTCCAATTCCGGTGTTCCTGGCACCACAGAGAACGCCTTCTCCGATGGGCAGGCGTTAGAGGTACACACCGTACAGGACGTCGTGCAAACAGACCACCACCGTGCAGTCTTCTGGCCACGGTAAAACACGATATCGGTCGTCCAGTCGCTTGTGTCGTGTGTCTAGCGATTTCTCCCGCTGTCTGCCGCCTGTTTCTTCTGGCCTGTAAGGCAATATACCGGTCATCTGCGGGTGTGGTTCCTCGTGGAGGACCACAACTAAACCCCCGGATAGCTGTTCCTGTAGTTTGAAACTGTTTTCAAAGTCGTGAAATGATGCTGTGAGTAATTCCGAACTCTGCAGCCACACTTGTCACACTGCAGCCTTCCTCCAACTTCCCAATGATTCGACCTCGGGTAAAAGCATCCAGATGTCGTCTAACTGATTGATTATTAGCCATTTCTCGCTGAGGCTGCAACTTGGTGTGATTATAACTGCTATACGGCGTGCAATCTCTTTGCCAGAAATACTGATCTTACACCGATAACATGCTTTATACTACTCAGACACTCCCCCATTACGTCTACCTGCATATCTGCACATGTGCTACCGTACATCACCTTACTTAATCTCCTGATTGGTCTTTCTGTCCGCTCTGCCTCTTTGTTCAGCTGATATGCTAATTTTTGACTTCATCCTTAATTTTTGCACACCAGTGTATATTAGTGAATCGCCAAAAATATACCTCCGAACTGCTAATTTACACTCAAAATGGCAATCGTAAAAACAGACAGAAATTTCACAGGATTAAAATTAAGGACCTTCTGCCGGTTTTGGCCAAAATTAAGGACTTTTAAGGACCAAAAAATCGATTCCAAAAAACGTAAGGACTTTTAAGGTCTCTTAAGGACCATACGAACCCTGGCAATTGATCCCACTTCTCTGTCATTATTTGAGGATATTTTTAACCAGTAAATGCCACTGGGTGAGATGTAAATGTAGGGCGTGTCTACCTATTGTTTATGGTGTTAGACCATGCCATGATACTGCGTCTCGGATATTGGTTCTAATCCTGGATATTGTTTGGATGATAGGTAGTACCACTCTCATACCAGATCAATTGCCATCTAAACTCTGATGACAGATTAAACTTACTCCACATCTGGGAATAATATACAAGCTCATTCCTGTTCAATCCAATTTCAATGCTCAGGACACCATTTCAAACAGAAAGTATGGCGTTGTCTGGACAATGGAAAAGTACATTACACTACATTAGTACAATGGACAGCCAGTGTACAATTCTCTTCTCCCAAATTCCTAGCTACACCTTTTGAACAGATTCGCTCTCCTGTGGCAGCAAGAAACTCCTTTTTCACTTGCTGAGCTATGGTGCATTGGTTTTTTTTATCTGATAGAGGAATATAACTGCCTCATACTTAAATATTAATGCAATCACCCTAGCGCAATTTGGCAAATTTTTACAGATGAAAAGGAAAATTCTCTTGTTGGATACAAATTCATAGTTTTCGTGCCCATTTTTTTTTTTTTTTTTTTTTTAAGAAAGATTCCCAAACTACCAATATTTATTGTAAGTAGGTAAACATTATTAACATGTGAAAAGAAAACATGCTTTAGTAATTTAAAATACAAATTTAAATTATTAAATAGCAATTGCATGATATATTAAAAAATAAAACACATTCTTCTCCAAATTTTTCTGCAAGTCTTTGTGCTATTCTTCTCACAAAGTACATAGCAATCTGGTTTCACTTAAAAAACATCAGAGAATTGCAGAGATTTGGCTTCATGCAACCCTCAGCAACAGCAGCTATCAAGGAAATGCTTTTCTTGTAGCTTCTCTTTAGAAAATTTTCAGCAAAATTCTGTATTCTTGCAGAAATTTTACTACAGTTTCTTCCATTACTGGCAACTTTTACAAGCTCATATTTTAAAACCAAGGCAAAAAATATCATGATTTGTTTATAAAAGCCATTGGAACTTAGAATACAATAAAAAAATAATAATAAAATATATGAAAATAGTAGCATTACTTGACTGAAGAATTGTTACGAGCATGTTTGCCAGAGTTAGGTACATTCTGAAAATGTGGCGACTACTAAAGGTAATTGTGTTAATATGCATGTACTCTGTCTCCTGCACAACAGAACCTCCCCCATAACACTGGCTATACACTCCAGTTGTTTTAAAAGCTTTCCACAGCCATTAAACAAAGCTGTGGAGGATGTTGAACTCCCTAGAAACATTTGTTATTTTTCACAATGTTTCTAGGGAGTTTCTTTCTGTTTTCTTCTTTCATTTTTCCAATGATACAGCCACTGCTATGATCTCTAAGTGATGTTGGGAAGACATACCAAAACTTTCAAGATCATCAGTGAAATCTTTCCCATAAAACTTTCACTTGGTACAACAACTACCTGCATGCATCAAATTTTTTAAACCGGTCACATAATGAACATGCAAGACTGTATCCCACACTTGGTCTACTTTTTCATATTTTGTGGTTACTGTGGGTGATTGTATTTTCCAGCAATTGCCCAGCAATGTAAATGAAATAATTTAAAATTCATAACTTTTTCAAATTTTAAGCTCATAGTGAAATTAGCAGTAAATTGATAAATTTAAATTAGGTTCTGCATCAGAACTCATTAATTTACTTGGCTTATCATAGCTTATTTATTGGTTATCCAATTTTATGACACAAAAATAATGGTTGCTCGTTAAAAACATATTGAAAGTTCAAGATTTTTTTACAGTCTGTGTGTGTTAGCTTTAATAATATGCAAACATAATTATAGATTTGGTAGACTAAGAAGAAGAATTCTCAACAAAATCTAAAATTCAGATTATTCAAAAATTTTTTAGGCAGTTCAAGTATAAATTTATTGTCTTACTATTATTAATGCAGAAACTGATAGTGTTTGCTTTCTGAAATAGAAAAATATATCAATAACAATTTATACTTCAACAATTTTTACAGCAATTTCATAGACACTTTAATTTGATTTAAGCTGAATAAAGCCATATTTAATATACACATAAAGATTCATTAATTATCTGTCACTGCTCTTTCCCTCTACATATTGTATGTGTTCATATGTATAAATAGTGAAACCTTGGTTTACAATTGCCTAGGATAACAAAAAATTTTTTTTAACAAAACATGTCTTAGATAATGAATAATGTCTTAAGGTATGAACAAGTAAGCCAGCAATAAATATTCCAAAATGCAGTGGAAGAAATGTCTTAAGATGATGACGGGAGGGAAGATGTTCCTAGTTATTTGATCCATGAAATTTGTGCAGGTAAGACACAAAGGTTTATAGAACATTATTACCCTGATAAAGCAGTAATAAGCAGTAGTATATTTATTTACAATGACACATCTTGCTTTAGGGACATTTTAAAGCATACACAGAAACAAATCATAGTGAAAAATATTTTAATGGGACAAACGCTCATTGATTCTGAAGTACAGGTAAGTGGTGTTAAAAGAAAGAGGGAAAAGAAAAAGAAAGGGGAAAAAACAAAAAGACATTAGATACGTGATATTTTTATTGAATAGGTTTTCTTTTCCAAACAGTAACATTTTGCACCTTTAGCTTCTTCAACATTTTCTATTCATGTGAACAATATTCCTTCGCAGAGATACCATAAAATTTAATTCAGGTTTTCCTATATTTTATACATTTAGTACTATGATAAATATTGTGTAGATGTTAGATTTAATGAATTCCATTGGTTTTGCATTATAAAGCATTTTACTGGTTTTACATACAAACTACTCCTTTTTAAGCATTCATTTAGGATCCAGGAATGGATTAATTCATCAAACATGAATTCTTATGGGAAAAATTATTTTGGTTTATGAACTATCTTCAGGAACAAATTAAGTTTATGAACCATGGTTTCATTGTATACATTTCTTGCGCATTTAAAGAAATCAAATATAGCTACATATCAGATACAATCAAACCTTCTATTAGTGAACACTCTTGGAGTGCATGTCTCCCACTTTAAGGATCCAGGAATTCAGAATCCAACTGCTAAAATGGAATGTCTGTTAACAGAGGTTCAGTTGTATGAGATTTTTCTGTTGTTTCAGTGACTGTGAACTTGTGAACAGTTTTAATATATACTGCTTATTTTCATAGTATTCTTGAGGTTTTTTGTAGTGAAAATGTCTATAAAAAGTGTATAAAAATTATGGGGAAAATAATCCAGATTCTGAATGTTGAATGGTCTTGAATGTCACACTGAAAAAATATAAATATTTCCCACCTTACCATTCAATATTTTAACAAATCTAAAAACATTTTAAATAAGAAGAACTGCTTTACATTAGATTAACATTACATTATTCTTAATATGAATCTTTTTTCACACCAAAAATTACTGTAAAATTGTTTATGAGAACCTTTTCCAAATGTAAAAATTTCCTTAAATTTGCACATCAAATATGCAATGACTACATAGTTGTCAAAACATACATTTTAATGTACGAAATATTAAAAATAACTTACTGAACTTAGTATACGAAAGGTTAAATATATCTACAATTTCTTGCCTGGTTGATGCAGATGTAGAGCCATCAAGTCGTAGAATATCATAGTTTTTCTTTTTACACATATCTTCTATTATATTAAGTGTCTGAAAAGTTATGTTAATTTTTAAACAAATTAAAAGAATAAAAACATATTCATAAATATTTTGTATGTTTACATTTTTGTGTTTCGAAAATTTGAATTGAATATAAATACACATTGGAATGATATTTTATGTAAAAAAGTTATCACGCGCAAATAGTAATATGCAATTCTAAAAATAAAAAAAAAAAAAAAAAAAAAAAAAAAAACTTATACTTACTTTCATAGTTTGTCCCTTAGCAACTAAATTTGAATCCTTTAGTAAATTAGTTTAGACAAACATGCAATTTAAGGTTTATTTCATCTATTTTCTTCAAGACTAGGCTAATAATTTAGTGAACAATTTAATTGCTTATTTATTGATCTATAAAACGGATCTGAAAATATGCCTGCATCTGCCCTGTTCACAATGATTCCAATCTGGGTTGAACTACCAATGTTCAGTGGTTTTATTGAGGTAGCCAGTGATGAGCACATTTGGGAATTTTAGACAAAAGTACATTTTCTTTTAACAGGTACAACATTTCTTCTCCTTTTATGATAAATTAACTAATACATGAGTATGCAAAGGTAAACAGAAAAAACGGACAATTGAAAACAACTAATCCTACTAAAAATATTTAATTAAAATAATGGTAAAAAATATGTAGATTTCACCTTTCCTTCTAAGAAATTACCTATATTTATTTCGGTCTTATTAACATATTTTGGACAACATAGAAAATACTATGAAAACATGTGATACTTTTAAAATCAAATTCAAAGCGACCAATTATAGAGTTTAATATCTTATTTACCTATTCCAGAGATTCATCTCTGCTACTTCACATAATTATTGTTTTATTCTTACTGCTTTTTATACTGTCTATTTTTCTGTCACCTCATTCAGAATACTTCAATCTGATAAAATCCTAAAGACTATAATATCCTTGCTTTTCTACAGATATTCTCTGATGTTTCCTTCATTATAAACATTAAAATAATTTTGTAAGACCTGATTCTATTATAATTAGTACTTTTTTTCTTTATACAGAAGGTGTTTACACTATTTTAGAATGATTTTCAGGTTGCGTAATTAATGTTTAAAACGTAAAGAATATTTTTTTTAATGTTTTATATGATAGTTTATCTTCTGGGCTATAAATCTGCATCACAATTTTTTGATAAAATTCCCAAGAATATTGATTTCCATTCCTCTTCCACTACTTTCCAGAGTCCAGCAATCATGGTGAGTTTGTGATTAGAAAGAGCTCTTTTCAAGAGACTAAAGGCACAATAATCCATAGGAGAAACATCAGAGGACTTATCAGGAATATGTTGAAAGGTGAAAAGATTGATGCAGTACATGTATTAAATCTTCATTTTTTCAAAGAATGCAGTGGTAATTTTTGAAGAATGATTTGCTGTTTTGTCTTGATGAAGTTTTACTCTTTAAAAGGCATTGGGATAAAGAAATGGAATTTCTTCTGTAAATATCAGACATAAAACTTTCGGTATTGTCGTAATTGGCGATCTACCGAATTTGGTTACTTAGTAATTAGTTTTATAAGAGATAGCACCATCTCTTTCCCCAGTCATTTCATTACCCAATTTAATTGGGTGTGCCATCAGCCAAATGAGACAGCCAATTAAAAATTCAGAACTGTCTTTCAAATTTGCATGATCAGATTTATTATTATTTAATATTAATAATTTTTTACGTTTTTCAAAATATTTATTTATTTTGCTGTGATTTATGGTACCTATACGAAAACTTTCAGTGTACGAAGTGAAATATTTTTTTTATTAGATTAGCTGATTTAATTATTTTAATGAATTACTCAATATTAATATAACTGAAAAGTGAGCCCCTAATGTTATGGATAGAGACTGTATTAAGAATTTTCCGCATATAGTGAATAAAACACTTAGACAAAATACACCAGATTTTTTTTGTACTGCTATGTTTAGTTGCTTCAAAACCTATTTACAAACAATTTGTTGTAAGCAAAGTATTGAAAGAAGAGATATAATGAATTTAAGAGAGATAAATTACACACTGTTGCCACTTAAGATAACAGTTATTTCATTTGCTTCTTATTTCAACTCTTTGTGATGTTAACATGAAATTTATTTGACAGTAAATTGATAACAAAAATTCAAAGATAGCATTGTAAAAGCTCTTTGCAAATTCAATGGAAAAATTGCATGTAAGGAAACTATAAGCATAAACACTGCTTTAACAAAAATACTGTCTGAAGAAGAGGTGGCACCATCCATTATAAAACTAGTTAATTAACTAACAAAATTCGGTAGATCAACAGTTAAGACAATACCAAACACTCCCTTGATAGTACATTGAGTTACTTTAAAATTTTTTTTTACTTTTCTTACTTTTAATTTCCCACAGTTTCCTAACAAACTTTCTTTGCATTGATGGAAAAGGTTTGTACAGTTTTTCTCTTCATTTTTGATAATAAACAGAGCTTATTTTGTTGCAGTCATTTAGGTAAATCCACGCTTCATCAAGGGCCATAGTGTATTTCCATTTATCTCAATGTGTTGTATTATCCCCAGCTAAGTAGTTTTATACAGGGTCCTACAAATTTTTCTGCACTGAGCCATATGCCTTGGCAAAAGCTGCCGAACAATTGTTTTTTTTTTTTATTAAGCTATAAATTTTGATTTATTATTTTATTTATTGTTGCTACAGATTTATTTAAAAACTTTGCAAGTAATTTCTGCATCAGCAGATTTTTTCTTGTGACCACTGTTTTAACTTCAAAAATATTAGAAACAGTATGTACTTTTTGGGGGTATTCATTTGGAGACTTGTTTCCATGTAGAATTAATGACTGACTGTTTTTCCTTTTCTGATTAATAACATTGCTAATTTTATGCTTAACAATTTTGATACCATGCATTTTACAACGTTTTTGAATTATGGAATAGGATTATTTCTCTTCAGAAAGCACAAAAACAAGCCCTTCAATCCACTGATTATGTGACATTTTGAAAGAAGAATAAATGTAAAAGTCAGATGATATTTCTCATTTCAAATAATAAGCTGATGCCAAAAAACTTTTATTCCAAAACATTAGCTTTTTTTAAAATTCTTTATCGAAATCGTTCTAAAAATGTGTAAACATTGAAATTCGTTAAATTCGCAATATCTCCTCTTTTTCCTTTTATAATGGAGAAATGGGTTAGAAATTAATATTAAGCTTATTAAGATATTTCTCCCACCTTCCCCTCACCTTTGTGGTGTAATGGTCAGCACACTTGGCGCATACAGTCAAAAGTCGTTAATCCGGAATGATCTATAATCCGGACCTCAAAGCTACAAACTTTCTGTGCATGCGTCGCGTTGACGTAAGACCTTTACTGCTGCGAATTTGCGTGTGCGCATGCGCAAAATACGTTTACGAATGCGCGTTTAATGTATAACAGACGGGATAAGCTAAGCTAAAATTATCTATTTCAGTTAATGTTGCAGATTGCGTTGTTCCTTAATCTTCGAATTGGATCCGGCTTATTATTTTTTGCAGACTGTTAGAGCAATTTTATAAAAGTAAGCTTGAACTTTCGATTATGTCAAATAGAGTATCTTTCGGAGTCCATTAAACAAAAAGTGGAATTGCTGCAAAAAATGGATAAAGGCATATCCTTTGTTTTCTAAACTTTAACGTTTGTTTATCTAAACTTTAATGTTTGTTTATCTAAACTTTAATGTTTGTTTATCTAAACTTTAATGTTTGTTTATCTAAACCTTAACGTTGTTTATCTAAACTTTGTTTATCTTTAACGCCGCATCAGCGTGCAATGAATTGGAAGTTGATCTGTCAGCACTATCCTTATCTTCAAGGCAGATGTTTTTATTTTATTTGGCTTATATTGCCTTACTCAATGTAGTATTTCATCTCGATGTACTCCGTCTTTGATCTTTGATATGATTTAAATCAAATGCCTCGTCATTTATATTCGCTTCCGATAGCGAAAGAAAGTGACAGAGGTTATTGAAAACGAAAAATTTCGATTGATAAATTAGTCGGTATTCTCGACACAGCAATTATAGGACCTGAACAGCGAAACTTTGTAACTGAACAAGAAATTATGTCTGTTTATAGAATTAAAGAGAATGTATTATCACATAAAAAACGAAGCAACTTAAACAACTTACATTGAAAGAAATGTTTAATAAAGTAAACAAATAAATATTAAGCTTTTTTTTTTTTGTAAATTTTGGTACCCTTTAGATCATAATTGTTCTTTATTTCGTAAATTACGGTTTCATATTTTCAATTTTATAATTTCTGCATGCCATTTTACCAGATTTAAACTGATGATCTATAATCCGGAAAAATCGATAATCCGGAATCGCCGAAGTCCTGACGAGTCCGGATTAACGACTTTTGACTGTATTCAAGGGGTCTGAGGTTCGAGTCCCGACGAGGGCATAGCTCATTTTTTGCATCTCTTATTTTTCATCAAAAATCCTAATGTCTCTACAAGCTTTAAATTTAATTCCAAGCCATTTTGATCATGTTAACTAAATTGTTGATCATAATAAGTGAAGTATTTTCACTTCTTGTGAGGAAAATTTATATTCAAACGGGGAGAACTTAAGAAATTCGATAACAACATCCAAATGATAACATTAACCGCAATCACATTACACCTTGTTTAGTGTAAATAAATGCCATAAGGTGATGCATAACATTTCAAGAGCAAGTTATGCCAGCATTTAAAAAACTATTTGCATCTGTCTTATAATTTATTCTTCGATCAGTCAATTCATCAAAAGTCTTGAATTTTTTCTACGAACTCATAGATTTTGCAACTTTTTCAAGTATCATTTCCAGAAAACCTTTTTGAGACTACGAAAGGATAATCTACACGTGGATAACTGACAGTTCAATTTATTTTAAAATTATTTTCTAGTCTCAAGAGCCAAAACTGAATACTGTATTCGAACATAAAGTTAAGGAATGAGCTAATGCAAGAAACATGCTTTAATCAAAAATGCATACAAACCTGAGTGAAACAAGAAACAATAACTATTTTTTCTTTTCTTTTCTTTTGTGAAAATAAGGCTGTTAACATTTTTTCAAGAACCCTCATTTTCCCAGAATCCTGTATTGATGGGTTATAACCAAAAGGAAATGCTGATTTCATATAATCGAGAACAGAAATCTAAAATAAAAAATGATGAAACAGGATGAAAAATCACCATCACAGTAAAATAAACTCATCAATATAATTAAATAAAAAATAAGCATTAGATTAGGTTATTCAATCATTGCAAAGCACACAAGAGCCATCTATCTACGAGAAGAAACGCTTTCATAAAGGAATTTCTAAGGGGAAACTCACTCATAATTCATGCTACATATGGAGAAAACCATGAAAACCAACCTGGAATCAAAACCCGATCAAGCTTCCAGTATTCAGTGGTCTTAACCACTCCACTACCGGTGGGAGAAAACAAATGTTAATATATGTGAGAAACTTACAACATCTCGAGGTTTACTAAAGTTTTAGCATAGATTCCATTCTTTCAGATTTCTTGATTTGATCTCACAGTACAAATTTTCATAAAATATAAATTGTAAAATAATAATTGTTTTTCAAAAAAAAAAAATTTAATGATAATCCACTTGATGCAACAGATACATATAGCAGGACAGAACATCAAACCATTGAAATTGAAACTTTATGGTAGTAATACTAAATCACTTACACTGCGATTTTAGTATTCTGTTTGAAATATAAATTGCATTATATTTCAAATTTGAAAAAGTAGATTCTTAAAAAAATTTACATTGTTCTGAAATTTATGAATTTTACAAAGGATATAGCTTTACTTAAAAATGTCTGAAACATTTTCTGAAATTGGTGTATATCATTTTAATCACTCCTTTATCTGACAGTCTTTAATAAAATACCTGATATCAAAATGCTTCAATCTGTTAATATTTTCATGAGTTTTTTTTTTATATGAAATGAACCCTGGTTATCTATTATAATGCAAATGCTTATTATATTACATATTAGCTGCAGTTCTAGCTAAGGGAAAAAGTTCAGCTGAGACTATAATGCAGAATATATTCTGCTTCACAAAATGATATGACAAAACTCTGATCCTTGAAAACTACTACACTGGCTTAGTCAGGGGGATCATCAACGCAGGTGAAGAATATTAAGATTCTATATTTCCATGTGGAACTAAATTGAGAAGAAAAATGGTTTTGCTGTAGATGAACCATTCAGTGAAATACCAAGGGATTTTAAATTGTTATATCTTTTTTATATACCTTCAAAACTTTTGAAGGAAAATTAGGAATATCAACTAAATTATGATTGCAATGACATTAATAAGGAAGAATTCCTCATTAAGAGAGAAGTGTCTCAAAGTTATATTTCCGTTACTGCTAAGGAAAACGAAGCAGGAAACCGGAACAGTGGGTACTTTTGAATTTTTGCAGTTTATTCTAAAATACAATCTTCAGAACGAAGTTCCAGATACAGTCAAAAGTCATTAATTCGGACACCCATAATCCGGAATGATCTATAATCCAGACCTCAAAGCTACAAATTTTCACGTTGCCGCATGCGCGTAAGACCTTTACGGCTGCAAATATGCATGTGCGCGTGCGCAAAATATGTTTACGAATGCGCGTTTAATGTATAACCGACGGTATAGACTAAGCTAAAATTATCTAATTCAGTTAATGTTGCAGATTGTGTTGTTCCTTAATCTTCGAATTGGATTCGGCTTATTATTTTTTGCAGACTGTTAGAGCAATTTTATAAAAGTAAGCTTGAACTTTCGATTATGTCAAATAGAATTTCTGATATATATTCACTAATATGTAAAGGATCTACAAAGCGAAAGTATGTTTCGAAGTCCATTAAACAAAAAGTGGAATTGCTGCAAAAAATGGATAAAGGCATATAATTTGTTTATCTAAACTTTAACGTTTGTTTATTAAACTTTGTTTATCTTTAACGCCGTGGCACGCAATGAATTGAAGTTGATCTGTCAGCACTATCCTTATCTTCAAGGCAGATGTTTTTATTTTATTTGGCTTATATTTCCTTACTACATGTAGTATTTCATCTCGATGTACTCCGTCTTTGATATGATTTAAATCAAATTCCTCATCATTATAATTCGCTTCCAATAGCGAAGAAAGTGACAGAGGTTATTGGAAACGAAAAAATTTCGACTGACAAATTAGTCGGTATTCTCGACACAGCAATTATAGGACTTGAACAACAGAACTTTGTAACTGAACAAGAAATTATGTCTGTTTATAGAATTAAAGAGAATGTATTATCACATAAAAAACGAAGCAACTTAAACAACTTACATTGAAAGAAATGTTTAATAAAGTAAACAAATAAATATTAAGCTTTTTTTTTTTTTTTTTTTAAATTTTGATACCCTTTAGATCATAATTGTTCTTTATTTCATAAATTACGGTTTCATATTTTTAATTTTATAATTTCTGTATGCCATCTTACCAGATTTAAACTGATGATCTATAATCCGGAATCGCCGAAGTCCTGACGAGTCCAGATTAACGACTTTTGACTGTGTAGCAATACTACTTTGCCCATTGCTTCTGTTTTGTTAACCTTTGTTTGAAGACATTTTTAAATAGCAATTATTAAAGACGTATTTAAGAACTAGAAACGATTATTTTGCATTTATGAAATCTTTCTGTACTATTTACATAACAGCAACTCAAGGAAATCAAATAGACCTTTAATTATAATTGGCGATTTTGTGGGAAAAAAAAAAGCGAGATAATAATATGGAAACGTTGGATTGAAGATTTTCTTTAAAATAAACTTCGCATGATATTTCCCTATATATCATTTTGATTTTGTACACCAAGAGTGATGGTCAATTCAGAGACTGCTCTATGCGACGATTTCAGACACCACCATAGGCGACAATAGTTCTAGCTACTCCACTGGTTTATTCTATTCAAGGCTTCCTTTTTTTTTTTTTTTTAAATGCCTATAAATAAAGAGTGTATTTACATCCTTTTAAAGCGATTTTGGTGTCGTTTAATTAATGCTTAAAGTGCAAAGTGTACTTTTTTAAATATTTGATCTGATAACTTTTTTTCTGGACTATAAGTCTGCATCGTTGTACAAGGGCTTTTCTTAAAATTTCTAGCATTATTGATTTCTATTCCTTTTCTACAACTTTCCAGAGACCATCAATTTTGATGAATTTGTGCTTAGAAAGAGCTGTTTTCAAGAAATCAGAGACACAATAGTTCACAGGTAAAACGCCAAGAGATTTCCAAGAATATATTGAAAAGGTATATATGCAATACCTCTATCAGTCTTCATTTTGTTCCAAGGAATGAGTGATATTTTTCGAATTATGACTTGTTGCTTTATTTTGATTAAGTTTCACTCTTTGAAAGTTATTAAGATAAAGAAATGGCATTTCTTCTGTAAATTTCGGGCGTACAACTTTCTCTAGATAGTATGCCAAGTTGATTTTTAACGTTTTTTCCCACGCTATTTATTTTAAATTTCCCATTGTAAAAGAATCCTGCAACAATCATGAACCTCTTACTGAAACTTTCTTTTGAATTGCTGGAACCAGTTTTGCACACTTTTTTCTCTTCATTTTCGATAATAAACAGACCTTTTTTTGTTATAGTCATCTAGGTCAGGGATGGGCAAACTCCGGCCCAGGGATAGAATTTTAATTTGCCAGTCTGAGGCAAAATTAAAACAAGTATACATTTATATATTATATATCCATCTCCTTTTCTGCTTTGTTTAATTTTTTTGTCTTCCTTTTTTTCAAAGAACTGATAATATTTTACTTTCTCTATTTTTGTTGTACAAAACAGAAATCGACGGAAATTGCAAGCACAGACAACTTTCAATCGGTAAAGTGTTAAAAGCGGAAGTTCCTTGTTAGTTATGTATGTAGATTGGCGCCAACAAGCGTTATCTCTTTCTCAAGCAGACATATGGGAATCCAATACAGGTGAATTAGACCTCTTAGAAAAAACTTTATCTTAACTTAAAACTTAATAAAACTTACTCTGTTTGCTGGGCATCTAGCTAAGAACGACTTGTCTCAGTTCATGAGGTTAAATTCAATACCCTCAGTGTAAATGAAAAGAAGCTTCAGAAGTATGAAGATGGCTTCAAAAAACTGCATTTTGAGTTCGAACACAGATTTCAGTGCCATTCAAACAGAATTGGATATTTTTACCATGGCTTTCAATGTAAATTGTGAAACAGTGAGATCATATTTGCAGCTTAAATTAATTGATTTACAATCTAACAATCATCTCAAGCAGTTGTTTCTAAATATGCCAAAGTTTGAGTTTTACAAATCATTATCGAAAGTAAGTTTCCCAAATTTAATACAGTACAAAGTCCATCATTCAGACTTGTCAGGACTTTGGCGATTCCAGATTAGGGGTTTTCCAGATTATAGATCATCAATTTAAATCTGGTAAGATGGCATGCAGAAATTAAACAATTAAAATTATAAAATCGTAATTTATGAAATAAAGAGCAATTATGATCTAAACGATATCAAAATTTACAAAAAAAAAGCTTAATATTTATTTGTTTATTTTATTAAACATCTTCTTTCAATGTAAGTTGTTTAAGTTGCTTCGTTTTTTGTGCTAATACTTTCTCTTTAATTCTATAAACAGGCATAATTTCTTGTTCAGTTACAAAGATCCACTGTTCAAGTTCTGTAACTGCTGTGTCGAGAATACCGACTAATATGTCAATCAAAATTTTTTCATTTTCAATAACCTCTCTGTCACTTTCTTCACTATCGGAAGCGGTATTTTCTGGATCTAGAACCATAGTACAGATTTCGCCGTCCGTTAATTGACTGATTATTGGGGCATTGTTGTCACAATGAAAAACTTCTGTTATATCATCTTCATTTATTACCGCTTCTCCACATTTTTTTTACAAAATCCAATAACTGGAAAATTTCACCTTTAGTTTGCGATGTCCGAATCGCACAATCTGCAACATTAACTGAAATGCCTTAATCAGTAAAGATAATTATAGCCTAGCTTATACCGTCCGTTATACATTAAATTTGCATACGTAAAGCATACAAAAAAAGTTAGCGGCTTTGAAGTCCAGATTATAGATCATTCCAGATAATGCACTTCCGG